AATAAAAAAAAGGGGGGGGGGGGGGGAGAATAAATGGAAAGGTGAAGTGGGGAGGAAAAAAAATGGAGCCCTGAGGGAGTGCCATGGTGAGTTAGAAAACTCCTCACTGCACAGCCCCTCTGTGCTCCCATTTCCAGTGATTCTTCTTCCTCTCTCTCTCCCTCTCATATTTTTGCACTCCTTTGTCTCCAGTTCTCCATCCTCTGTGCTTTATACTTCTGTGCTATTGCACAGCAGGAGGAGAGAAGAAAAACAAACAAACAAACAAACCAAAACAAAACAAAAAACCACACACACCACAAAAACAAGGGCAGAGATGAATGAGCTTAGGAAGAAGCTAATGCTGGTTCTTCCTGAGCTACAGGTCTATCACACAGCTTGCTCCTCTTCTCTCCTCAACTGTCTATGCTTCCTCTAAAGCCCCAGTTGTCCTAACATCCTTGCTTTATTTTCCCCACATGGGCTTTGTACACCTCAGTTTCTACCTTCCCAGATGCTGAGTTCGTCTTCCTAACTCCCTACAGGCCCAGGCCTTGCAAGTAATAGACTACCTGTAGTACAGTGGTAGGTGGGCAAAATTGAAAAATAATTGAAGAAAAATTAGCTAACTTGTTTTGGTGTAGCTTAAATAAGCTACAACATATTAATATAAATCAGAAGACCGTATGTTTCTGTTTTTCTTTTTAAAAGTTCAAAACTGGCTTAAGACAGAGATGATGCTTAGGGAGAGTGGAAGGTGTCTATATTCACATGCACATAGGGACAAGAAAAATTTAAACTTGAGGCCGTTACTGTATTTCACCTAGAATAATTCAGAAAATTAATCAGAGAAATTTTTCAGAAGCCAGCATTTTAATGCTTCCCCTGAAGACAATAATGAATCATTGACCAAATTTAGAACAAAGAAATTTCTTTTTTTTTAATAGCATATAAATTCCAACACTTCAAAATGTTTTCACAAGAGAATTTCCCTCCTTTCCCTTATTCTTCCTTAAAAGCAAATCTCCATTTAGGCTTAACTATGGAGATGTTACCCTCATCTCCCTAACATGCTGACATGCCCATGTCAGCTTGAGATTTAAAACATTTATCCCCTGAGGCAGAAGTTGACATGTGAAATGATAGCATAGTGTGTTATGTTGGTTTTAAGTGTTTTCTGTTCTTTGAGGAAATACCGAACTCAGTTCATCACAATACAATTCAGGACTCTCTGTTACATGCCAGGAAGTATAGTGCTGATGTGAGTACATGTTTTGTATCTGTAAAAAAAAAAAAAAAAACAAACAAGAGAAACAACCACGTTCAGAAAGCACAGCGTCTCCAAGCTCCAGCTGAGAGTTGGACCTGGTGTTTTGGCTTGAGAGGATACAACTGCATATTCCTTGGCAGTTAAAAAGAGTGGCTGGTGTTCACTCAGCACTAGTTATGTTCCTGTAATTTCCTTAATGATGATTTAGGTAGACTGAGGAAAGAGTATGAAAGAATACAAAGCACAATGAGGTGACATTAGCAGATCTGGAAACAGAACTCCAGCCTCATACTCTGCTG